CTCTAGCGGGTCCACCAGACCCATGAACACTGGCTGAGTAACAAAAATACGAACACCACACAAGGGTTAACAAAAGTGTGCTTTTTAGTAGTTTTGGGAACATTTTTAGAGCACGGTTAAAGATCTAAGATTTATGAAAAAACTGTTAAGGAGTAAACCCTTAAGGGGAAAAAGAAGATGGTATAACAGATGGTGTACTACAGTACTGGGTAGGTAGGCAGCAGATATGCATTTAGGTGTTACTAATACGAACGAGACATCAGTTATTTGAGATGTTCTTTTTTGGGTCAGTTCATTAATTTTCCTCAACACATGAATCTAGTTAAATCTTGGGAATAAAAAATAAAGGCTAACATATGGTAGCAGTTTGACAGCATATCTGACATCAGACACAGCTAAATCAGATTTGATACAAAGTGACACTGAACTCTATGAATGTCCTCTCTTAAAAACCCTATACGTCTGAGTGGCTTTATGGTGGTATAAAATAGTAGCAGTAATCTTGTGCTTCTCTATAAAACAGCAGTACATGGAATCTGATACCAGCGTGTCCTTCATAGTTCTTCACTCAAAATAAAGGGTTGGGTGGTGAGAGCATAGCAGTGTTGAAGTGATGTTTTCTATATAGATTCTTGCACGGTGGTATACATTGTGCAAGCCGTACTGCAGCTCAAAACACACAGGATTTGACTGTGAAGTCGGCTATGTTGGATACAGAAGAATAACTGTGATTTTTTTAAGTTTTAAAATGAAGTATGATTTACTGTGGGAAATGCACATGGACAAGAAAAGCAACTAACTAGAATAATCATTTACACTAAAGGGCATCAGTCAAGGTTCTTACATGTAAGTGAAATAAATTGAAGCAAGAAAGGAAGATGACGACGACGAAGCATCTCAGCATGAAAACGAGAAAAGAAAGAATAAAAGATCAAGAGGTACAACACTGGGAGATACAGAATGAAACATCAAACACGAGTTAGACAGGAAAGAAAATTAAGAAAAGGGAAATGGGAACGGTGGATGGTGTGAACGGCAAAGAAAAAAATCAAATGAGACGTAAGGAGTTAGAAAAGAAAGGTTAACAAAGTAGGGGAGCGCTGTATGTCAACAATGTAGTGAGCAGAGATGGGGTGTGAGATCAGAATGAAAACACTCTAGCAGCAGGGTAGGTCTGCGTGATGAATACGAAATATGCACAAAAATAATCAAATACAGAGAGAGCTGAGGCAGTGTGAAAGACAGAGAGAGAAAAAGAAAGAGAGGGCCCCATCAGTATTCATACAATCTCCCATTCAGACAATAAGCCTTACATACTGTATTTAAAAAGTGTGTGGTGGGCTGATGGGAAAATAGCTTGCTTGAATGCCACGTGAACATGAGGTCATTCAGAGAATAACTTTGATGCTTATGTATGGTTGAGTACAGTATGTGTGTTATTACAGTAAGACTTCCATGCCTTTTTATACAGATTTGAAGAAATCTAAACTCATATTGTCACATTACTGATATAAAAAAGCAGAAAACAAATAAAATGATAAAACAGTGTCTGCTTCTGTGTAGTTGTTCACCTCACGTATACAAGGAAAGTACAAGCAGCCATGGAAATGTTGGAGAATAGCAAATGCAGCAAATACACTCTCTCTCTCTACAAAGGTTAAAAAAATCATATGTCTAATTTTTTGGATTAACTTCACTGTATATTTTTATTAATGTAATGCTGCCATCTTTCAGTTTAACTAAAAATAGTATATGTTTTAAACGACTAACTATTTTTCACTTTTGTCAGAACCAGCCTTGGGACAGAATAAACCCACACTGATGGATGGTGCATAATGGCAAAAACAAACAATATATATAGCAGCAGAGCAATAATCACAAGCAACAGAATAAAGTAGAATGGCTTTCGCATAGGCAATTCAGACAGAATTGCAAACTACTAAAAGGAGCCGTAATACCCTCTGCAAAAGGTGATATTTACCTGTGGTTATTGCTTCTTCATCACTGAAATCTCTTCATCTACAGAAAACACTACATGACTACTTCTGCAAACTACAGTGCATCTACTTTATCTCACCTCATGAAAAGTGACAGCATACTTATTATTGAGTCTGAGCTTCCTGTTACGGATTCTTTTCTAGGAAATTTATGAAAAAAGATACAGAGATACACTTTGATTTCTCTGAAGTTTTTTGAGATGGAGGAATTATTTTTGTTTGTTGAGACTAAAAAGAAAAAAGAAACATACACAAGTTTGCAAAACAGATCAAACAAACACTATATAGCTTTGCAATAAACACAATGACAGAAATACATCAAGATTCATAAAAATACTCAGTGCTGAGGTGGTATAACCTTTTTGAGCCCAGGGCTGCCTTATTTTTCTGATGTTTACTATTTAAAATAAGTGGCTCCATACATGTTTGTCTTAATAATAACAAAATCAGCTTACTATCACCTCAAGAATATTTCAAGGATAAAAGATCTGATGTCTCAACAGGACCTGGAAAAACTAGTCCATGCATTCATCTTTAGTAGGCTTGATTACTGTAACAGCATCTTTACAGGTCTACCTAAAAAATCAGTCAGACAACTACAGCTCATTCAGAACTCTGCTGCTCGAGTCCTCACTAAGACCAAAAAAGTGGACCACATCAGTCCAGCTCTGAGGTCTTTACACTGGCTGCCTGTCCGTCAGAGGATAGACTTTAAAGTTCTGATGCTGGTCTATAAAGCTCTGAATGGTTTAGGACCAAAATACATCAATGACCTCCTGACCCAGTATGAACCTTCCAGATCCCTCAGGTCATCTGGATCCGGTCTTTTATCAGTTCCCAGAGTGAGAACCAGACACGGAGAAGCTGCATTCAGCTTTTATGCTCCTTATATCTGGAACAAACTCCCAGAAAGCCTCAGATCAGCTGAAACACTCAGTTTATTTAAATCCAGGTTGAAGACTCACCTGTTCTCAGCTGCATTTGAATAAAACACCAAATCCACACTTTTAAGCTTAAATTTCAAAACTTACATTTAACTACTGATTTTATCTACTGTTCTGATTTGATCTGTTTTGATTTTATATACTGTTTTGTTTGTTAATTAGTTAGTTAGTTTGTTTGCTTGTTTTAATCAATTTTAAATCATGCTTTTTATTTGTTTTCGTTTCTAATGTCTCTGTAAAGCACTTTGAATCACCTTGTTGTTGAATTGTGCTATACAAATAAACTTGCCTTGCCTTGCCTTAATGGAGCTGAGTGTGGACAGTGGATTGATAGCGCAAGTGTGTCTTAAAGGATTTAAGAGTTGCTTTTCTAAAGTTCTGGGCAGAATATAGCCCTTATGGAGGCTCTGAGTGTGTATTTGCCTCTGGCTGAAAGTAGTGAAATGCACAGAGATTTGCTGAAAAGTAGGCAGAGACCATCTGTGAGGTTATTGCTAACTCATAATGGGCCACATCTTAATACATGCCTATGGCAAGAAGCACTAGTGCTTTTCTTTGAGGAATTGTAAGATGAATCGGAGCTTTTGACAGGTCAAAAAAAGCAGCTTGAAAGTTAGTATGCTCGGTGGCATTCTGGTTGCTTTATATGGAAGCGTTTCCTCCATATTTCAGCTTTAAATATGTATTATCTAATTTTTTAAAACTAAAACATTAAATTATTTTTTATTGAGACTGAATCCAGTAATTGCTACTCTTAAAAAATATTCTTTGCCAAGTCTATATATCTATTTAATCCCATAAGGGGAAAGTGACCTTCTAGCCAATATCTGAGGACTGATGATAGCAAGTCATACTCTAACAGAGGGATAGATTCTCTTTATGAAGACTGATGAGGTGGTGAACATGGGAAAGTTTGAAAGAAGACCGCACCATATGCTAACCAGAATAATATTTACTGAGTGCAAACAGTTACTGTGAAACCATGATAAATAGATATAATTTAATGCTTTCAGATATGGACCTACTCAGCCACACAAAGTTATGTACAAGATCAGACGCCATACCTTTGGCTGGAGATTGGGGTGCAGCAGCACATATCCATTGGGATCTATGGCAAAGTAGTAACCATTTGGACCAATCTGATGCAAAAGAGGTACAGAGGAAAGGGAATATAATATGTGAGTCCATAAAATCCCGTGATTATGTTAGATTTTTGACATGTCAAGGCACTGTACAAAAGAGCAGCTCCACTGGTCCAAAAACATGAGTACACAATGGAAAAAGGACCAGTAACTGATAACAAAAGCAGTCTTATCAGTGCGTGACCTTTTTTAAACAGACTTGAAAAGAACAAGCCATCTAATGAATCACATCACTCACTAATTGCTCCAGAGGGAAACATCTGAGCAAGTGCTTTACAACTGAGCAAGTCGTGTAAAGTTGCTCCTTTACAACAAACGCATTTGTCTCCATGCATGTGATCACACACGGGTATGGGTGATACACTCACTGTGAAGCGTGGTGTGAGCTTCTTGATGTCATCAAGAGACACGTCAATTGCCATTACGCCAAGAATCAACTGATTCTGGTGCTAATGGGAAGTATGAGAGAAAAGATAAGGACAGATACGAGCCCTCACGTGATGTGTTCATGCATTCATTTACTATACCTCCTCGTTTCTTTTATCTATGGTCTTGGTTCTGTTGAAGACAGGTAGCGTTCCAGTGATGACGAGACCAAGCTCCTGATCGAGAATAAAGAAAAAGCCCTATTTAGCAATATTCTTGAGCAAATGAGACTGGGAGCAAAATGGGTGATTTTTTCATTAAAAAAACTAAAAGAATTTGTAACATAAATTGCAAAATACATACCAGAGCATCAAGGTATACGTTAGTCCACTGGACTTGTTTGGCCTGCTTGTCTGCTAGAACCATAGGTCTTCCCAGGACATCTAGGTATTCCTAAATTGGACACATAACATCATTTAATACTGCAGATTCTTTCAAATAAAACATATTTGTTCATTGTTTAACATTAATTAATGTTAAACACAATAAAAAAATCACCTGTGTGTTTATTCTGATGGCTCCGATGGATGGAATCTCATAGAAATAACCTGGATAGATGATTAGGAAACAATAGATAGTGTGTAGGTATGAATAAAACACCATGTAGGAGTAAATGATGCAGGGTGTAAATCTGCAGTTTAATTTACTGCATCATAACATTTGATTGTGTCAGCTGAGTTACAAGACACAAATAAATAGATGAAATAACTGCCATCCAGATTTATTGCTTGTGCATCACTGATGAGATTGTTTTCTGATTAGTCTCACAAGGCTCATTTAAGACAGCCATTCCTGTTAAGATTTCCATCATCTGGCCAAGGATGTCCTGTGCTCATGCCCTTTGAGCATTTCTAGCATGTTTTATGGTGTCCTTAAATATTCCAAGTTAATCATAGAAATAATTCTTCAGTAGAACATAATGTTATCTAATACTAAGAACAGATTAAGCACAGATGCATGCTGGGATCAGTGTTGTACCTTTGTTCGAGCAGGCCATCCACTGAATGGGTCCTTTGTCATAGTTGTGTTGTCCTACTGAGAAGGTGAAGATCCTAACCTGAAGCATAAGGTTAAAAAAAAATCTCTCCATGTTACTTCTTACAATGTTCAAAAACCAACAAAGAAAAATTGTTTTACAAAAAGTTAATGTAAACACTTGTAATTATTAATCAATTTAACACATTTGAAGCTGAACACAAAATAAAGGTGAAATCTGTCTTTGATCATGTGACTTTGAGCATCATATGTAATCTTTTTCCTGTTTTGACATGTTGAAATGTGATGCAACCTTATGTAAATCCTTGTATGAATAAATGAAATGAGTTACAGACCATTTAGAACCTGTATTTATTTGAAAATAGTACAAAAACAACATGTGAAATGATGAAACTCAAAGAATTTTGGAAAATGTGGGGACCAGGAGAGAATAAGATAAATAATTTGTCAGACCACAGGAAAGTTTTCCATCTTAAATGAGTTTGGGCTCAAAAAACATTGAGTTTCAAGTTTTATTATCAGAAATGCAATGATCTGGCTTTCGCATGTTAATCTAGGAGTTTACATTTTTTAGGAAGCATAAAGCAGGAAATGGAAATTTCATACTTTAGCCTGGTTCCTTTGCAGAGGCATTCAGTTCTGCTTTTGTTCATATTTTGCACAGCATCACAGCTATTTTGGAAACTGTGTGAAGCCTTAGTTTCACACCCTCATCTGCCTTGTGAAGAAATTTTCCATAAAGAGAATGTGCACACAGAAAACACAACCCAAAGGGAGTTCCAAGAGGTAGCACCACACAAGTTTGTTGGTGTGTTTTTGTATTATTCATAATGTGTGATGTAAATCGATTTGCTCCCACTTCCACTGCTGAACATAAAGCGAGTCCCCAACATGTTAATCCTTAAATTTCAAAGTATGGCAGAATTAGTTTGAGAAAGTAAGGAATTTATGCAAGTTAACTGTCCTCTATAATGATAGAAACGTGTGTGTATGTGTGTCTTTTGTATACCTTTTTGTCAGCATTATATTTCTCCAATATGGCCTGGGCTCTTTCCTCTCCTCCATCAGTGAACAGCATGATAATCTTGTTGCAGTTTGCTCTGCTCACATTAGTCTATCAAAGAAAATAAGCATGGAGATTAATTATTTGTCATGTTTTTAGCCACATATGCTGTGGGCACATGGATCAATTACTCTTTTGGATAAAAATATTCAGGCATTCACTAAAGCCTTTGCTTTGCATTGTTGCTTAGATAAGATTTTATCTAGCATTTTCATCAAAAACACTCATTTTGGATAATCAATACTCCATGCAACTTAAAAAAAATTGTTAAAGGCAGTTTTCTTCTATCCCAGAGAAAG